CACGCCCCTTAAATAGAGAGACGTAGGCATCAAAGCTGAATATGGGACATCACTGCAAAATACAATCATCTTTTTATAGAAGAGAACAAATTTGTATCAGGCTGTAGAGAGAAACAAGCTTTGGGCTGTAGTTTGATGAGAAGGCTTCTGGTAATTCTCAGATTTACTGAACGTATCTCATTTTATTACTTTGTGTTATTAATTTAAATGATAAATATGATACATGACCCACATTGTGCCCAAGGACACAAAAGTGGCTGGGATCGAGCCTGCAACCTTCCTATTGCTGGGCAACCCACTCTACCTGTTGAGCTGCTGCTGACCCAATCCAGAAGAAGTGACTAAAACAAAACCTGAACCATGTCTCAGTTATAGTTTACTCTAATTAAGAACAAACTGAACCTTTAATCAGGGGCTGAAACAACACGTCTCTACATAAAATATCAAAGAGTTAATCATCTACAGCACATAAATGAAAGATTCAGAGAAATCTGCACACAGGGGACAAGGACATAAACTCACACCCTGAGAAGGCCCTGTAGACAGCAAATATACAGTAGGTCTGAGAAAACCCCAGAAAAAGAGCTGGAACAGAAACAAAGTAAAAAAATAAAAACATTATAAAAGTTAATTTTCTGTTCCTGTTCTGTTTGTCGTTAAAAATATGAGGAAACTGGGCAAGTAAGGGAAGCAAGATACAAAACGATGGTTGCAAGGAATGGTTTACAAGTCCAAGCCAAGTAGTCCTTAGAGGAAGAATCCAAGTCAAGTCACTAATCTTTAGAGGGAGAGTCCAAATCAAATCTCGTCTTTGGAAGAAGAGTCCAAAATAAGACTAGCCTTCAGAGGAAGAGTCCAAGTCAAGTCTCTCGCATTTAGAAGAGTCCAATTCAATTCTCCAGTCTTTAGAGTAGGAGTCTATGTGAAGACTCTAGTACTCGGAGGAAGAGGCCAAGTCAAGTATCCAGTCTTTTTAGAGCAAGTGACTTTAGTCCATGTCTAAGACTTGAGTTACAATTTCTGTTTACCCAGAGAACTTTACAAAACTTGAGTAATATTTAATACAGTGGATACTTCAAAGGCACACACCTCCATATTACAGGGTTTCAAGAAGGTCCACCAAGCAGCCGACTCAGAACTACTTTATTTTAATACACATTTCTGCTTCAGTGAAATAAATTAGATCTAGTTTAGCTGCAGTGGCTATCAATGTAATTATTTAGCATCCAAACAAATAAAATAAACTAAAACCTGTGAAAGGAAATCACCCTCTGTGTCTCCTACGGATCTAAACTGTCCTGTGCATATCAGTGGCTTACACAACAGTCCAGTTTAGTGCAGTTTTTCACCACTGTTGCTCTATAACACACTATTATTTTGCACAAACACACTTCAGTTGCATCTCATTTAAATGTGTCCACCAAGGATGACCTACAGATCTGTTACAACATAAAAGGCTACAAACGCCTCGGTTCTTCCTACAACAGAGTGGAGAATGTCTGAAAAAGAAAACACAAAACCATAAAAGTTCAACAAGATGCACAAAGTTACAAAATTAACCAGAGCTCCCAGTGTGAGAAACAAACAGACTCCCTGTAAGGATGTGATCTGTCTCGGAAACGCACGCACGCACGCACACACACATACACACATAGCACAGTGTTGCTTTCTTTCATGTATGTGTGTGTGACATCTGGGACTGTAATCAGGGGGTTTCTTTCAAGAGCTGCCAAAGCAAACAGGCCAATAAGGAATCCACTTTACAGACCATCGATCTCCACTGGCCATGGCCAACACACACACACACACACACACACACACACACACACACACACACACACACACACACACACACACACACACACACACACACACACACACACACACACACACACACGCACGCACACACACTGAGGAGTGGAATACACAGACATCAGAAAAGCTAAATTCATTCATGCAGTCACCCAAAGTACAATCCTGCCCACACTTTCTTCAAATGTGAAGACAGTAGGAAGAAAACGTAATCCAAAACCACACACACACACGCACGCACGCACACAGAGAGCTTCTTGGGCTGCGATTTAGAAGGTTTCAGTGATTTACCTGCTAACAGACAGTCTAAAGCAAACAGTGGAGAAATAAATCAGCAGTCTAAAAAAAACGATCAGAGTTCAACAACACGGGGACAGGAAGTGAGGAAGTGGTGGACAAAACTAAATATCTCTAACAGGTCTGTGATCCAGCTGAGAACAGTTCATCTTTGTTTCAGTATTAGCTCAGATAAAATCCTCATCAAGCTAACTTACTGCTTCTCTTCATGTCCTCAGTAAGCCGACCAGACAGAGAAAGAAAGATCAGACACAAGTAAAATAAATAAACAACAGAAATATTGTTGTGTGGAGTCTAGATGATTCAGAGAGACCAGAACTGGAAATCCATCAGCCCTCAAAACACTTCCAGATGAAGCTCAGACAATCAGAGGAGAGAACAAGGCCTACGCGTCATCCATTTACTCTGGGCTGCAGCGGTGAACAACAATAAATCCTGGAGGGGCAGAAAACGCACACACGCACGCACACACACACACACAAGAAAGTGTGTTTGTTCACGTGCATGTGCAGCTATCTGGAAAAGGAAACTAGATAGATTGAGCTGATAAGAGACCGCATCTACATGAAAGCCAAGACATAATGCAACACACCAACAGGTTGCTGTTACAGCATACAAACACACACACACACACACACACACACACACACACACACACACACACACACACACACACACTCACGCGCGTGCACAATCATGTGCAGGAGACAGCCTCCATTGAGAAAACCAATGAGCTGTGCCCCTCCAGAGACTTGCAAACACTCACACTCACACACACCAACACAAACGAACAAACAAATAAATGCACACACACACACGCACATACGCATGCACTCGCGTGCACACACACACACATTCTTGTGTTTGTAGCCATGTTAGGACTTTGTATTGACTTCCATTCATTTTAGTGAGTCCACTATGCCTAACCCTTACCCTAACCAGTGTATTCCTAAAGTTATGTGTAACTAAAACTCAATTCACATCTTATCTGTAAACCTCACCCCTAGGGAGTACTCCGTATTAGGACCGGGGTTCGGTCCTAACAAGGACCATCGGTCGTAAGAAGGTTAGAAAATATCCCTAATCCGGTCTTCACAAGAGTACAAATACAAAAATGGTAAATGGCCTGTTTGAAATAGCACCTTCTAGAGTCCTGGAACCCCTCAAGGTGCTTTACAACACAATCAGTCATTCACCCATTCACACACACATTCACACACTGGTGAGGATGAGCTACAATGTAACCACAGCTGCCCTGGGGCGCACTGATAGAGGCGAGGCTGCCGAGCACTAGCGCCACAAACTTGGAACAAACTTAATTTGAGAGTTGGGTTTCCTAACGTACATGTAAACTAGGACAAAGACTCCTAGTTAATTGCTTTAGATCAATCTAGATTAACTTAGATGCACATGTAAACATAATGAGTCCCATTGCTGTTATCATTCAAGGCAAGATGTTCAAATTTCATGCTGATGCAGTAAATTATGAATGAAATGTAGAAAGTTCCACAATGGGAAACTTTTAGTTTTGTCTGGAGGTTTGATGCTTCCTTCAGTCACTAGTCTGGCTTCCAGAGAGGTCTCAATATGTGTTAAAGGCTTTTGGAGCTTCAATTCAGTTTGTCAGGATAGTAAATCAATTTAGTGGGCTGAATATCAAAAAGCTAACGAGTCAAAACGTGTTTTCCCCAGCAGCAAGGCTTTTTTAGTCTTAATTGGTGTGAATTAATTCTGTTGAGTCAAAAGTTTCAGAGAGAAAACATCACTTCCTGCTAGATTTGAGAGACAAGATGAAAAAGGCAAGCTAGGTGAGGTAACCATGAGCAGATGGACCCTCAGTGTGTGTGTGTGTGTGTGTGTGTGTGTGGTGTGTGTACACGCAGGCAGCTGCAGGAAGGATCCTGCTGAGGATGAGCAGGACGTCTTGTCATCTACTGTGGCCACAGCATCAAAACAAACACACACACACACACACACACACACACACACACACACACACACACACACACACACACACACACACAGAGGCCACATAATGGGCCATTTCAGCACTGGGACCACAGCTAATACAGTAAATGACAGGGGAAGACTGGGACACAGCCAAGCTAAATGTGACGCTGATTTTCTGCAGCTAGCGTGTGTGTGTGAGTGTGTTTCTATCGCCCTGACACCGCGACTCTGGTAATGAATGGTAGTGCAGATGCTGGTGTGGCCGCTGTGCTGCTCGGTTCACCGTCCCGGTCTGACTGTGGTTCACACAAACACGTTCAGTCTAATGCAGCGATCTAGGCACGCAGCGCCGTCCTTAAATAACATGGCTGTGGTGTTGGAAAGTCCACCCAAAGTGTCAGTGGAAGCATCAAAGCAGCATAATGAGAGAGCAGAGAAAAACCAGTCAACAAGGCAGATCACACCAGTTCAGAACCCAGGAATACACTCCGCAGACGGCCACTTCCAACGTAAAACATGTTTCTTTGTTTTAGGACAGAGGAGGAAAGACAACAATGGGTCACTTTTAGTCGTCAAGCTGCGCCATTTAAATGATTCCTGCCAAAGTGTTTTGTCTGTAAAAGTGTTGAGGTGGATTTTGTCCTTCTCTGACACCCAGCAGCTTCCAACCCTGAGCATTTTTCAGTCCTAGCTATGTCAAAAACAAAGAAGGGCTGACTTATTCTGTTTCTGCATCACCCTAACCCAACAAGCTCTGAAATCACTTTATTTATATATTTAATTTAAAATAAAGTGAATGTGAAATATATAAATGACTGATAACCAAACCAAACCAACCAAGAACTGGGTTTACAGTCAGTGCAGTTACATGCACACTGACTGACATCTAAGTTGATCCAGGTCGATCTCCTTGTAATAAGCTGGGAGTCTTTATCCTCGTTTACATGCACATAGAAAACCGGCCTATCAAATAAAATTCATTCCACTCCGGTACAGTAGGTGGCGACATTCCCCTTTTCATGTTGGCAATCTTCAAGTTAGCTCATACGGAGCCTAAAAGTCTCCTCCCTTTCCGGTTGGCTCATGGGTCCCCGGAGGAACGAAAAAATGAATGCAAGTCAACGGGGCTAAAAGAGCAGTTTTCTGATCCGCTCTGCCTTACGCCTTGGATCACACATATGTTGTACTGCAATTTAAATGAAAAGTAATGATGGATGTTTTGACCATGCCAGTCACGTACTTAGAAATTTATCCGCTTGTAAAAGTTTGTAAATAGCATGACTACAAATCGGACATCTCCTCTCCCCTAGGGTAGCTGCTACTTACCACATGGCCAGATGTACGGTGGTTCTTTCCATCTGAAGGAAAGATTTGAAGTTCGCTGAACTTACAGCCATTTTCTCTCTGTTTTCTCCGTGTCTGGTTCGACAAGGTCACTTCTGAGTACTTAAAGAGCAAGTAACGTCTAAATTAACTTTTTTTTGCTGATGAACTGTATAAATGAGTGTCTAATAGTGTTTTAAATGTGTGCATTCTTTATTTTAGCATTTTGGTGCATTTTCTTTAAAAATTAAAAATTCTGTCTAAAAACCACAGTAATGCGCCACCTTCAGCTGAAAACATAGAATTTGAGTCATTTTGAATAAATTTTAGCCAATGGCTAAAGAGTAAAGTACTACGTAAACCAGTAGAGTACTACGTAGCAGCTCCGTGCCAAAGTTATAAAAGCAACGAGAGTCTCGGCCACGCCCTGTGGCGCGTGGGAGTTGGATTTGCAAGCGAGCGTAGGAGGTCAGCGGTAGTTCAGCATTAGCATATAGCATTAGCATATCCTAGTCTTAGCATATCTTTTAGTGTTATAAATACTTATTTAGTGTTAGCTTGGCTGTTGGATATTGTAGTTTAGTTAGTGTTTGGCTGTTAGTGTAATTGGGAAAGTATTTCGGGTTTAGTGTTCATATCGTCTTAGTATTGGTGAGATGGTGTAATGTAGTATGCTTGCGGTGACTCTGTGGGCATTTTACCCGCGATTCTGCACGTCTCCGTTTGAAGAGGGAGGCTGCCCACCGTGGCTCTTCCGCGATTTAGATGCAGCCCACCGACTCTGCTCCCCCACCACGGCGGGCTCCAGTCTGAGGTGAGTCAGCTAAATAAACGTTTTAACATCTTCTAAAGACAATTCCCTACCTAAATGCAAAGTCTGAGAGACGTGGTTCACTTCCTTTAGCTAGTCAGTCGGCAATTCTGCAACAGTGGCTCTAACTGACGCAGCACTAGTTGACAGACAGCATTACAGCGTGAAATCCAGCTTGTGACCCGGTTCTGTGAGGAATTCTGTTCAGGAGGTCGCATTTCAGGCTCTCCACATCATGTGTGACTGACTTTTACGTTATAACAACGATCACACACTAGGAATGTTATAAAGCGCCTATATAGGAGATTCTTTTGTATGTTATCTGACTTTATAAACTCCCAACAACAATGTGCTTCTATTTTTTTTTTTTCAGGCTAAATCTACCCAAGACACTGGCTGTCAGACTGATTTAGCTGCAAGAATGCACTTGTCCAGGCTGATGTGAAGCCTTCCCTGTAGCAAAGGTGAATTATTTTTAATAATCTTCTATGTAAACATTTTATTATCACCTTCTAGTTTTAATTTGTTTTACAGATTATTGTTACACGTGATTTTATGCTCTTTTAAACATTTATAAATGTGCTGCTTCTTTGTTTTTACATAGCCAGCCAGAATGGAGTTCACAGCCGCAGTGTGTCTGGTGACCCACGGTGACCATGATGAAAATTCATCTTCCAGAAAGTCCCAGAGCGTCCAGACCCCCTGAAAAGACCAAGATGTAAGGTGTCTGCTGTTGATTCCAGCTTCCACCTCAGTGACAGTGCAAGCTCAGTGAACTGTTCAAGGTAAAAAAAAAATTAAAACATTTCAGAATTTTTAAGATATTAACAATTAAATAAGTATGTGATTACATCATGACGGAGGCTACTGATTCTGGCCCTGTGATACTTGGTGGTGACGTGTGAGCTGATTCACCTGGAAAATAACTTTTACATTAAATATTTTGTTTTTGTTATCAAAAGTAAATTAACTAATAACCTGCATTATTGCAGGACACTCAGCAAAATATGGACTCTACACCATGAGGCATGCACACATTAATACTCTATAAGAGCACATAAGGTGAGCAACACCACATATTGTACACTGTCCTGAATTTGTTTTCTTTCTGCATCTCATTAGCCTGGCTGATCACCTGATAACTCCTGTCATCTGGTTATGACAGCATGAGGATGTCCTCACACACCTGTAACCTATCAGCTCATCCTGCTGAATAGAGAGAGAAGAGACAACACCACATCTCCTGTTCCTGGAAAGCCTTCAGCCATCCTTCGATGACTGAGAACCTCCATCAGCTCTGTCTCCTGTCTGCCTACAATTATTATAATAAATATTGTGTTTGACAAGTTTTTTGTGCTGCCAAATATCTCATTTAGATTCCAGTTTTGATATTTTAATGGATATTTATAAATTACATTGATTATCACATTTTTGTTGCATGTTTAACTAGCTATTGTGATTAATTAAACTAGCACCTCACTGTTAAAAGCTCGTTTTAATTTCAAGCATGTTTAAGTATTTATGGACATGAACAAAAACAGGAAATATATAAATTGAGATTTATTTAATTAATATAACAAATAAGGGGGAAAGAGTCATTGAAAGGCACATTCTTCTGGAAGCTCCTGATCCTGAAGACACCAGCAGAGACCAGCTGCAGACACCAGAGACCACCTGCAGACACCAGAGGACCTAGAACCGAGAGAGCAGCTGTTATTAGTAAATAAATAAAGAAATCAGGGCAGTTTTAGTGGGCTGAACACATTACAGAATAATTTTCTCATGGGGTATTTTCATAACTTTATGCAGCAGACTGTAACTTGAGCCCATAGCTACCGGAGAGCTGCTATCCAGCATGTTTCAGTGGATTTTCCTGCTTTAACAGGTTAGATTAGCTGTTAAGCAGCTCAGCTATTTGTTGCTGATTAAAACCAGGTGTGCTGAAGCAGATAAACCTCTAAAACATGCTGAATACTAGCTTTTTAGGGCCGTGGATACAAACCCTGCAGCTAATCCAATGCTATGGCTAACGGCTACTTACCTTTCAGAGGTGATTCTGTTGGGTCGGGTCTGGGAGTTTCAGGCAACTCACAAGCTCAAAAGAATAAGACTCAGGTCCGCTTGTCTCCTCCAAATAGACTTGGTCCCTTTCTTCTCGAGTGTCTGTGTAAGGAGGGGGGAGAAACGTCCTCCACTTCTAATAACTGCTCAAGAGTGAAGGGAGCTAGCTTCGTCTAGTTAGCCATAGTCTTCGTCACTGCCGCGGCTCCGCCCTCTCGGTCCTCCAGGCAACGCCTACTAATGTTGCATTTTTTAAAATTGATACGTGGGTGGAGAAGGACTCCGAGGCTCAATTGACCCGCTCTTTAAAGACTTTATTAAGTCTGGTTTGATTGTTTGTACATATTGTAAATGAGAACAGTCCATTGTCTTTATGTCTAATTTTTTTTATCTTACCTTTGTCTTATATGTTTTTTTTATCTTACCTGTTTTTCTTTGACGTAAAGCTAACTGTGTGCTGCTGCCTCCTGGCCAGATTGTTGTCGTAAATGAGAATGAGTTCTCAATCAACTCATCTGAATAAATAAAGGTTAAAGGGGCATTATGGAAGTTTGACAGCCAAAACATGTATAGAAATAATAAATTGAATAGCCCTGGCATTCTTACTGTGATTGCCTATTTTTCTGTAAAATCACAGAAAAAGAGAGCTGCTCGGGTCGAGCAGGCTGCTTCATGCGCGTCCACGCTCAGGCATAGCCCTCCGAACCGTTCTTTGAACGTTGTTTCAGCTGTGATCAAGCATACAAATGTTACAGATACAGAAGACGTTACTGGCGCTACAGCTCGCCTAGTAAAACGATGGACTTTTGTGCAGAAGACGCGGGTTCGATTCCAGTTGTGAACATAGTTAATTTCGAGTTTCTTTTTTACATTAATGGTATATTTTTTTACAGTAAGATGCCCAAATTTTTATTTGAGACTCGCCGAACGGCATTGAATTCACAGATAAAAAAGATATGGGTTCAACTTTCATTTTGGAACAATTTTTCAAGCAAGGGAAGGGAATGATCTGAGCATGTAGGAGGACTGACCCGTCATAAACCTTTGTCGGCTGTGCTGAAGAGAAAGGTACAGAACCAAATTATTTAATTAATTAGCTGCGCGTTCTCCTGTCCTCTGTGCCACACACACACACACACACACACACACACACACACACACACACACACACACACACACACACACACACACACACACAAGGGACCGTCTCAGCTGTTATTTTCGTTAAGGAGTGTGCACGTACAGCATGCGCGCCTCGTGCATGAGCCTACTATTGAAGTTGCCGTTACGCTATTGGCCTGAGGGGGCAATCGCGAGCATACAAATTCAAAACTCCGTAAAGTCCCTTTAAGTAAAAAAATTTAAATATGAAGGGCATTTGTAGTAGGGTTGTCACGGTAACCGGTATAGCGGTAAACCCCGGTAAAAAAGTTGACAATAAAAATAACCGTCCAGTTTTTAAAAAACTAAATTATCTCGGTGGGTTTACGTGGCCGCGGTTTCAGCGCGGTGACCCTTACCAGCCACCGTCGCTTCAGCTGAAGTTCCCGCGGCGCGCACACGCACTTTTTAGTTTGCAACGGCACCAAAACTTTGAAGCTGAAATAATGGCCGAAGGAGGAGACGGCAGCGCCCAGGACATCCATCAGCCCTCAAAGAAGACTAAATTGGAAGTATGGGCATATTTTGGATTTCTGAAAAATGCTGAGGGACAGTTAATAGAGGACTGCTATCCCGTTTGCAGAACGTGCAGGAAACAAGTGTCTGCAGAAGGCAGCAACACTTCGAATCTAATGGCACATCTGCGTGACCATCACCCACGTCTCTACAGCCAGTGCAAGGTAAGTTAACATTAACATTTTAGCTTAAATGCATGACGTGAGGACTTTTGGTTGAGGGAGAATGCAACGAGTCACTATATACTGCAGCCGCAGCGTCCTCTGCCAGCATTTAAACCGTGTCACGGACACCCTGTTGCTGGATGAAGCATCTTATTTGTTGATGAAGAGAAATATACAATTAGTTCCTTGTCATTGATTTGTTTACTTATTCAATGCCATTTATACTTGAACATTTGGATTTGATTACATAGTGTAGTAGTTATTTTAGTAATTTGTTTAAAGTGGCTATTTATTTTAAATGCATATTTTTTAAGGTTGACTTGTACAGTGCTCAAGTCAAGTGTGGACTGGAGTTTTAGATTTTCATTTTGATAATGAAGAAAACAAGTATATGAGAAAACAAGTGGCGTTTCTTTGATTTGTTTACATATTGTTTATGTTTTGAATGTTTGGATTTGTATAATTTAAACCTGCACTGACTACTGTAACACGTTCCAGAAAAAGAAGCTATTTGTTCCTTTACTTGTGAAAAGTTGCACTTTTGCTAAGGCTTTGTGTTATTTTAGGTTTAATAAACACTGTTAAACCTTTTCAAAACTATTTCAGTTTGTGTAGAACAGGACTATCAATGCTTTCTGAACATATGCAACACCGTTTAAAAAATACCGCGATAATACCGAAAACCGTGATAATTTTGGTCACAATAACCGTGAGGTTAAATTTTCATACCGTGACAACCCTAATTTGTAGTCCTGGACTTATTTTCACACAAAACCTAAAAGAGCATTTCCCCCATTAAAAAAAAAGCAAATTTTTGGTATCAAAATGCATATTTAAAATTCACGGACATAACATGTGAAATCTATAACACATAACAAGTGTAATCAGAAAATAGCGTTTTTAGCCCCATTGTCTTGCATTGATTTTTTTTCGTTCTTACGGGAACCCGTGGTCCGGAAGAAGATGGGCGTGACTTAGGAGCTCTATGGCCACACGAGCAGTAAACAGAGACTGGAGGGAGTGAAGCAGATGGAACTGAAACAGGGTATGCACAATGGCTGATTGAATGCACAACAACACTACAGCACAGCTTATCTGGTACTTAATGTCCTGTTTTATGTTGTTAAGCATGTTGTGCCTAACACCATAAAACACCCCGAGTGATGAAACCAGATGAAATTTTAATCAAAGTTTAGTTCTTAACCTTAACCGGGTTTTTACTTTATTCTAAACTGACACAGAAATACCAAACAACATAAAACATATCCAAATATCCCTTAGAAATACAAAAATCCCACAAAACCATCGAGACGTCATTTAATTCTGTTCTTTGTCTGGTTTCTTTATTTATTTATATTTCTAATTGTGTTTTTAGATCAGCCGAGACTGAAACGATAAATAAAACAGCACACTAAATGAAACCATATGTAAACCAGCTACAACACGAGGTGCTGGTGTTCATTCTAGTTCTGACATTAGCCAGTGTTTAATCAGTGCTCATCAGAATTTATTTGGATGCTAGCTCTAGAAGCATTGGACATTTTTGCTCATCAATTAGCAATTTTTTTATTTCAGAGATTTTGTTATTTGTGAGCAAATATGTGGCATCATTTGCCTGCCATTATTATTCTCAGAATTTTATTGTTGGTTTTCCGTCCAGGCTCTAAACCACGGATTAGGTCACTGGTTAGCTTTAGTCAAATGTCATCACTAGGCAGTGGCGGGCGGTGCATTCCACCCCTGGGCCTTCGGTGATTTCCTATTCAGTCCAATCTAAATTAACACACCTTAAAATACCATCAACAGGACATCACAGCTGGAGAAACCTCTCTCTCTCTCTCTCTCACTCACACACTCACACACACACACACACACACACACACACACACACACACACACACACACACACACACACACACACACACACTAGTGGCTGGGCAAGACGTCATTTCCGGAGCCTTTAAAATCAAACTCGCATTCCCAGTTGAAAGTAGGAAGCTGACCACGGATACCGTCAAATCTCAGAAATGAAAGATGGGTTTAAGAGATGAGACAATAAAATAAATAAGCATAGCAAACACATTATTTGCATTTGTTTTGGAGAAAATTGCACCACGAAACAATTGAACATGTTGGCGCAGCTGCACACACCACGTTATACACAATATAAATTGCATAGAAACAGAACACATAGAATTATTTCATTTAGACATTTTATTTCGTTAACATTCATTATTAACAAAATGAAATGACAAAACATTAAAAAATACTAATAAATGTTTCTACTCACCAACATAAATGTCCAGCATGGATCTCCTCCTCTCCTGCTCATTTGAAAATAAAATCCATCCTTCTTTCTTTCCTCAGGAAAACCTCAGTGGCTCTGTACAGTTCATCTGTGCGCTTCAGGTCCATGACGTGTCTACCCGGTCGTGTTTCTGGCG